TCTATCTCTGACAAGTGATGATTGCAGCTCCATTAATAGTAAGTTAAGTTCCTTGCTCATTTTCTTAGACTTAATATATAAATGTATACATAGGTTAATACATTTCCTAAGACTTCAGACACATACATTTCCTAAGACAAATATTTTTGAGGTCGGCCTGTTTAGCACGCAAAAAGTATGAAAGATGGGGTAATATGTATTTATATATAACTGACGATAAGTAAGCTCATTAAAGGATTGGGTAGAATTTGGGAGGGTTGCTACAAAGTGTGATCTAGGTATTATCGAGCTTAATTAGGAGGAATTGTACTAGGCGCTAACTGGCATATATACACCTGTACATAACGCAACATGAAAGGACCAGAAAGCTAAATGGAGTCTTTGCAAACAGGTAGAACATGGCCATATGTTATCATGACAAGTATCACCTTCCATGTCTGACATGGGAGGCAACAAGCAATTTATGGTGGACCTCACGCTTTTTAACCTTGATCTTTGTTTGCCACAATGATTGGAGGATATATATATATATATATATATATTTTTTAATTCAGGCCACAATCTTGAGTAGCTCTAGCATTATATTATATATATGTATATATCTAAAAATATAATTCAAATTTTATGGAAGTGCAGCAAAGCCGACCTGGACTTCACATATATACATACGTACATAAATGCACATATGTCTATATCTATACTAGTACGGAACATCTTCAGCATATCTAAAGCAAAAATATCTATACTTGTGGTGGTTTTTAATTTCAGATTAAGAATAGATTATTAGTAGTAGCTTAACTTCAAACCATATTTAGATTTTATCCTCAAGTTCCTCTTGAATATTAGGTTTTTGCTTTGCATTTTTATTGTGGGCTAAAATTAGACATGACAAACTAAATTAGATGGCATCAAGTTGATCTTTGACTAACATATACCTTAGCATACTAGAAGAAATCTAACTTGATTCACAGATCGATGAAATGATTTAATTAGGCTCATCAAATTGTTTGATGATCTAGTGGCCTGCATTGTCTGTCAAGGTAGTTAAAATCACTTTTTGGCTGCCATATGCTGCACTGCATCTTGTTTTCATTGCTTATTGATGTAACCCCACGGAATATCGCCCCTTGGAGCTTAACTGCTTAGGCTGAAAATTTCTAGGTAAGAGCACAATAATCATTGCCAGTCACACCCAGCAACAAGCAAATTAACAAGATCAATAAACAAGTAGGTTTGCCACCAAGAATAGATGACTAGCCGGCAACTGAAAATGATGAATATTTATTTTTACTTTTATGATTTATTTTCGAATAAAAATACATACATTTCATAAATTAGATAATATTTACAAATTTATCATTATAACATAAATTTCTACGGAGAACATGTGGGTTCTAAATATCAGTTATAAGCTTAATTCAGAAAAGTAATTAATAAACTTATAACTGAATTGTTGGTACACTTTTTACTGTATAAGAAATTGTGGGTTCAATTTATTTTATATGTTTTTATATGTTATCGATAGAAATTTACTAACCAATATAACTAAAATTAAAAAGTAGCTTTTGTTCATGCATGCAACTCCAAATTAGTCTGCAGAGTTTTGTTAATATTAATTTTAGAGTAGAGCACTTAGGAAATAAAGCTCTATGAGCTTGTTACCGTGCAGATTACATTCTCTTTTGTCCTCAAATTAGATAACGTTGTAATGGTTCTTTATAATGTGTTTAATACCAACTCGCTTCTTATCTTATAGATAGACTCTAATGGCAATTAGAGCTTGATATGTAAGAGTTGGAATCTGGAAAGAAAAGGCAACGCAGAGAAAGGAAAAGATAGACATTAAAGAAAAGTAAATGAGGAGGAGATGAGGTCTGCAGTTAACTTTCTCCTTGTTTATGATGGTTTTAGAAAGGAATAATACACACACACACACACACACACACACACACGTGTGGCAAAAACATGGAAAATTTATTTTTCAAAAATGAATTTATCTAGTTATCTTGTTTTGTTAAAAAGAGAAAAAACATAAAAAAAAAATATTGGGATCAATTATTTTTTTTTTTTTCTGCTAAAAGGGACAATATTTTACAATAATATGTATCACATTCACAATTTTGAGAGAGAGAGAGAGAGATATATATATACACAGTTTTTTTAGCAATCTTCATTAAGATGCTCTAAAAATAGATATAAGCTAGAGAAACCCTTTGGAAAAGTATGAAGGATGTTACAAGCATATACAAGCAGGAAGCACTTAAGTATAATACACATAAAACATGTTCTATTAAAAAATACACATAAAATATACAATTAATATTCCTAGAACCAAACACTATTAATTTAATAAATTTAAAATTTAAATAATTTATTATTAATATAATTTAAATTTTTATATAAAACTCAACAATCATATATATTTTAATACAAGAGTAAATTATAAAATCTCATCCTCTCAAATTACTGATATTTTTATTCAAACTAGACAAATAACAATATTTTACAAATTATAATTATAAGTGTAAAATATGATCCATTATGGAGGCACCATGATAAAACTAACTCTATATCATTTATAATATCACAACTCTAATACCACTAATTTAATAATTTTCCAAACATAAATTACTAACTTTCAAAGATTAAAATTCAAATTATTTATAAAAAAAAAAAATCAACACTTGTTGAAGGAAGAACCCTCAAGGTATTATTAATATATGTGTGCTTGTCTCTTTAGGTCTTTGTTAGAGGATAATAATCATACGGTCTTCTTATCTTTATCAATGTCACATATTATTATTAAATTTTCACAAGTTCTAAGAATGAATTGGTGAAGTTTAGGAATGCATTAGTAGAGGATTATTGAATTAGCTTATACTCAATCATCAATTGCAATGCACTTGATCTAAGCACTACTGATCTTGAAACTTTTGATTTAAACAATTAATTCTCACAAATCCAAACTCAAGTAATTAGTAATTCAAAAATATAAGTTCAAATTTTTTTAATATATATGTATATATGGCAGTTAGGAACTTAAACTTTTATCTTTGGTTTTTAAATGTAACCATTTTATTTTATTTTTCATATGGAATTAGGTTATCACAAATTAAGAGGAGATTAACAAATGATCATTGTGCAATTCAAAGTTATGTTTGTTCTATATGAATTGTAGAATTTAAAATATATTTTCTTAAGCTTATTTAAAATTATCTTAAAATATATATTTTTTTAACACACAGCGTAAATATTTTGCTAGAAAGGTATATTTATGGAAGAAATATGTTCATTTTTCATCTAAATCAAAGAAGTGCTAAAGATGGCTAATTTTCAACTTTCAATATGCTATGTTACTTGATTTATAAGAAAATTAAGATCAACCCATTTCCAAGTTCTAACTGTAAATTCAATTCAAAGACTCAGAATTTCATGAACTCCCACTATAACAAAAGTTTCTAGTGAACTTTATGGCCTCAGAAGTTGCTAGTGAATTGTAGAGGACATGCTTGTGCTATAAGTAGATTTTGCATATATATACATAATTATAAAAGACAGAAATTAAAATTAAAATTGATATGTTGAAAACACTCATCTTGGGTTTCAATGCATGAACTTTGAAAACTTTATTTTGAAGGTGGAAAAACAAGACTTAAAAGAGGATAGTGGATCACTCAAGGGTCTATTCAATCACTTCTTAAAAGTTTTTTACGATGAATTTATCCACTCCAATGCACTTACTTGCGAAATCACCAAAACCCACTTTCAAGAATGATTAAACGTAATTAAGGTTATAATTCATTAAATTGAGTAAAATTAAGTAACCATAATTAGTCGCCAACTAAAAGAAAATTACATGAATTCACACCAAAAATGATATGTATGTGTGTGTTTTTTTTTTTTTTGTGTGTGTCAAACTGTTCGTATGCATACGTATGTTGAGTCAAGAAGAAATGAGATTATTGATAGAATTTGAATAATTAATATATATATATACTGTGGAAATCCATTGTACAGACAACTTTGGATTGTTCTAGCTATATAATGTGTTACCATAAATTAACATATTCTTATGACAGAAAATTAGACGAAATAATATAGAGTAATATTATCAATCTAATTGATGATAATTAATAACACACAATTAATTATTGAGAAAAAGAGCAAGAAGAATCTTCCACAATTGACATATACATACGTTACACTCCAAGAGTACTAAGAAAACATTCTCCTATATATATAGCCATAAATGTTTATATATATCCACTTGGCATATACAAGGAGTACATATATTTATGTTATAAGAGAATAATTACCATATATATATGTACTAATTAACATACAGATTTTGACTGTCATAGTTCTCCCATGATTTGCCAAAGAATTGAAAATCTCCAATTTGATGCTGCAGAAAACGATTATTTTGGGTGGTCAGAAATCTGTCTTTTATACTTAATTAAGTAATTGTCTTGCATATTGATTCTTGAAAAGTACTGTATACATATATTATATATACACACAGATATATACTTGTCTAGAACAACTACTGTATATGAACTAATTAGTAAATCTAAGCATGACAGCATTAATTTGAGCTTACCTCTTGGGAAATTCCATTGTGGTGCAGATAATTGAGATCGATGGAAGATGGACTCCAGTATTTGTCCATGATCACCAAAGATTCATCAACCATGGCAGCTTCTTGAATCCCTAAATGACCCTTTTGAGGGTTAATAATTTCTTCTTCAACTTCAGGCACTATCATCTTCGGAGAAAGATTCACATTGCTATGTCTTTGAGTACCAGATTCTTGATCACCTGCAACCTCAAAATGGTCACTCAAAGAACCTGCTGCTGCTAACTGGTTATTCATATAATTCTCTTTGGCCTGATCTTCACCACGAAGCTTCGATTCTTCGTCCAATTTTCGATTCCAAAACTTCTCCCTTGTCCTTGCCCTTGCTCTTTCCCTCGCCTTCGCCCTCAGATCCTTCGCAAGAGGGCAAAAGGCACGTTTCCGCAATTGTTTAATCTTCTTCTCTTTCGCCAAGAGACTAATATCAGTCTCTTTCGCCTTGTTTCTTTTGTGGGTGCCTGAGTTTAGGATCCCGGAGATTACTTCACACTCAGAAGTGGAAGATGCACCAGTACTGCAGCTGTAATTAGTCCTTCCAGGAAAGCTTTTCACTAGTTTCTTGATCTCGGTTCTTGCCTGAATTAGCAGCCATTCAACTGTTTTACTTGCTTTTTCGTAGCCCAACATGTCTTGGAGGCCAAAGAACTCTTTAGCAACTTCAAGGGAAAGTCTCATTCTTCGATCTCTAGGCCCTTTAGCTGTGTTGATCTTGCTGTGCCGGTCTCGCTTGCACGATCTCTTCCTGTCTGGAGTACTGATCACCTGCTTCGTGCTCTCGGTTCTGCAATCCTTGGAAGCTGAGAAGCTTCCATTGTTGAAGGAGTGATGAGTATTTTTGCTGGAATCAGCCATGTTTGAGACAGTTTCTGATGCAGTATGATCAGCCATCATTATTAAGCCGGATTGCCCATGTTGTTGCTGCTGGTTAAGTAAAATCTCATCATGGTTAGAATGACTTGGTTGAAGAAAATTGGGTTCTGGGTCTTGGAGTTCAAAATCAAAGTAGTGAATAAAAGGGGAAGGGAGCTGGAAGAAAGAAAGAAGAGGGTCATCTAATTGCTTGGAATTGGGGATGCTGATTTCACTGAGAAAAGGCTTTAAGAGAATTGACTGGTCAATTTCATAAGAGAATAGGTCAGTATTGTTAATGTCATTGTTAATGGAGATTGAGGGAAACATGATTATTTTTAAGGTAAATTGCACCAGAATTATAACCTAGAGAGCAAAGAGAGCTCTGAGAATGACACATGTAAATTTAGGCTAGCTAAAGCTCCATCTCCTGCAAGCAAAAAGATCATATATATCAACTGTTAGTGAGAAAGACATCCATGGACGGTATTTCTTTCCTCTTTACTACCAAAAACTACATACACAAACACATGGACAAGTCTATATATCTTTATAAGTCCTCGTGTGTACTACACTTGCTCAGTTATAATTAACAATATGTGCATATATATAGACGTCTGTACACTTGTTTACCTCTCTCAAAAGACTAGAGCTTGAGAAAGACAGCAGAGAGGCAACGTGTAGTGGTACTATGAGGTTTGATTAATGAACATGCATGAGAGAGGAAAAGGGAGAGAGATGATGAATATATACATATATAGATATATAAAGATATCTGAGAGGTGATCAGAAGGGTAAAGGGAAAATTTTGAGATGGAGGGGAGAGAAAGAAGGAGAATTTATTGGGAGACAAAGAGCCATCTTTGTCTTAATCTTTTGCAAGGAGCAAAAGTTGGCTCTTGTATTGATAAAAGGGAAAGACTATATAGAAGGGCATGAAATATATACGAGAGATATAGTTTGTGGGTAGTGATGAGTGGACAGGAAACACTCACTATTGTGCCACTTCACGTGATTGCAGGTGGAGAGAACATATATAGCTTTTCCCTGTCAACCTTATATCTCTTGCATGGACTCCACATATTTTATATATATATATATATATCTAAAAAAATATTCTAAATATATTCAGGAAAGGAGATTAAGAAATAGAGAATGCAGGGAAGTGGATTATATTCTGGTTTTGGGTTAGGGTTGGTTCTTGGTCCGACTTATTTTGGGAAGATTCTTACATTACCTATTTGAATATTGTGATATTTCTATTATATAAAAGATATATATTATAAATAATATATTCAACCGATCATCTCAAAAATTTAAATTAATAAATATAATTTAATAATTATTTATATTTTAACACCGCCTCACATATAAATTAATTAAATAAAAAATATGAATTATACATAAATTTATCAAATTTTGTGTGAAATTAATTTTACTAGAAACTATCAACTTTAGATTTCTAGTTCTAATACTTATTTCAAATATTAGATTTAACTGATTAAATCAAAAAGTTAAACTAATAGAAAAGGGATTAGTAATTATTTTAATATTAGTATAGTTAATTAAGTGATCTTATAGTAATTTATAAGATGTTCGCTATAAATATATGATTGTTTTATTTTAAACGTGAAAAAAAAAAAAAAAGTTACCCACTTATTAAGAAGTTCAATTTACATTTTGAAATCTAATGATTTGGATGAAAATTATTTCTAAGCTAGTAATATTAATTTGATTTTGAACTAAAGTTATCAATAATATCAAACTAGTTTGTTAGTGAGATAACTCTATATTCATTTGTTTAATTCATAATATGGAACAGCACAGTTTTATCTCTTGTGATTTAATTTTATTATCACACTCCAAAACTAAAGCACAACACTAAACTGTCAAAAATGAACTGCAAAGAACTCAAGTGATAAGGGTGAAATTGCAATTTGCACTTTAAAATAAATTATGAGCTATCTAATGAATAGAACTTCATACATGTATATGTATATATAAATACATGGGTATTTGGGTTTATATATGTAGATATATATGTATAATACATGTTATGTAGAGTTTAGAAACCTACAGGTGGCAGTGTCAAACCCTAGCAGAAAGTACAATAATTATTTCCTTCAAGGAGTGGGTGGGGGTGAGGCCTGTCATGAGAAGCAATGGCTTCTTTGACTGAAGGTGCATAATAAGGTCGCTTTCTCCAAAAAGAAAAAACCCATCACTCCCTCTCTCTCCTCCCTATCTTTATATCTATCAAAGTCTATTTCAGAAGAATGTTGTTGTTGTTGCCTTCCCATGCGTGCTTATCGGTTTAGCTTTTCTCTTAAAGCTCAAAAGAGAAAAAGCTATTTCTCTCTCTTTCTCTCTCTCTCTCTCTCTATATATATCTATCTCTCTACATATGTATGTGGGTATCTATGTAGAGAGAAAGTTGTATATATTGACACTCAAGAACACAGCATAATTGTCAAGAAAGGTTTTCTTTGCTGTTCCTATCTATATACATATAATATATATTTGTGTATGTATATATATGTACCAATAAGAGACCTATAATACCTGAAAGAACCCTACCCAATCACACCTTGTTATAACTCATAAAACCCATCTCCCTCACTTGCTATTACCAAGTAGCAAATAGTCCTTTCCACTACTTAAAAACCTACCCTTTACCCCTGCCATTTTTAGCCTCCCTTGTGCCATTTCCATTTATACATGCCGCCCCTTCTGACCCTCTCTCTTTCTCTCTCTCTCTCTTACTATCTCCAGACTTTTGTATGTATTTATGTATGTATATATTGTCTGTAGCCTGACCTCTTTAGACTGGCATAAGAAAAAGAGGACCACAAGATGATAAGGAGAGCTATGGCTAGGTTTTTCTTGGGTTGCTTTCAAGGAATAAGATAAGAGGCAATTATTTCAAAAAATAAAAAATAAAAAGAAGAAGATGATAAAATATGGATTGTTGATCAAGTGGCTTATAATTAGAGGAGCATAAACCCTAAGGCACCCACACAAAAAAAAAAAAAAAAAAAAAAAAAGGTATGGTTGTATTTAGTCTCTTCCTATAAGTGCTTTCATGTCCTTGTTAAATAACTTATTATGCTTTGTCCTAAAAAGTCCATTTGTGCTTGACGATGACCAGAATTCCTTCATTTCTCACATATATACTTTATTCTCTTTTGCTTAATTTTCTAATTTTTAGTAACCGATCATTTTTGGACCGACTTTTATGTGCTGATAAATAAATTTCTTCTCGAACAATCTTAAGAATGTATCCTCCTCCACTGTTACAACATATTCAGAATTTTATTCTTATATGGGTACTACTTTATTCTCTCTTATTTAACTTTAGTGTTGCTTTTCTTCATCAGCTTCAATATATATTGCATGTATATTTCAGTATTACTTCTTTACTGTATAAATTCCATTTTGGTCTCTTTCTTTCTTTTTCTCATATTCAGATTCAATATATTTTGGATAGAACCGTCTCTTAAGGTTAAGGGGAATGAACCATTTCCATATCAAGCAAAGAGTTTTTGTGGCTTCGTGTAAGTACCAAATTCTTTTGTTGTGGTTGGATTTGGTTATTTTTTGCTTTCTTCGTATGTACCACATTGAGATTTTTTGAGGCATTATTTCCCAGCTTGGATTGTCCTTATCTGTTTTATTTCTTTCAATTTTTTGTCCTAAATATTATCAACCTAATAGTGATAAGAAAGAAAGTCCATCTTGCAGCTTGCTTTTCATCTTTTTGCCATGGTATTATCTCTTACGCTTATGTTTTCCAACTGTTTTTAGGGCCTACGCCAACGATACTAAGCAATTAAGCTTAATTAATTAGATTGTAGTTATTATGATATATAATCACATGAATCATGATGAACTTCCAAGCGTCAAAGACGAAATATATGTTGTAGTTTCACATGCTTCGTTGAGACATATGGCCTGTCGTTGAGGGTGTGATTCCAACATTTGAATCTCATGGGTCACAAGTGACAGATAAGTGCCCATGGAAACAACAAGTATGCTTCAACTCAATTTGCTAAGGGGATTCTAGCAATATTGTTTTCAACTCAATTCATAAATTGACTAAGAAGTTAAACATCCATATCTTTTAATAATATAAATAAAGAAAAAAAAATATTATTATAATCGCTCTAATAAAGATGGGAGAAAAAGAGTTATAACACATTAAAAAAGTTAATATTTGTTTTGTTATTCATTAGCATCTACTAATCAATGTCTTGTATTTTCTCACCCTGGTTTTGTTTTTCTTTGTGTTTTCTTGCCATTTAGACCATCTTTTTGTGTGTAAGGCTTGGGCTATGTTACGGGATCTCGATATTTTTCTTTTGCATGAATAATTATGTAATTTTTTTTATAATTAGTCTTCTTTGTTGTTCTTAACTTTTTATAGCATGCAATTCATTAATACAAACCTTGAATGTGTTTGTCTAAGGTGTGGTTATGGCACTTTGGACTGCAAATTCACACGAAATCTAGGTTGAGCTTATATGCAGGCTTACTCATCTTAGATTGAGGTCTATGTTTACAATAAGTTTTCTTGAATGATCGAAGATTCATATCAACAATCAACTTTCATCAGTCTAACCGATGACTATTTTAAGGGTAAGGCAAGTTAATGTGAGTTACTATGGTATTGACAAAAAAAAATATTTAGATATAGTCGAACTAATAGATTGTGATTTTTGATTGGGTGAAGAGTATCCTTTATAGATTTAATTTGCGTTTATGGACATCTTTAGAGGGCTTACTTTAGGGAGATCTTTTGAGCGCGTGAGGTTTGCTATGGTCTCCAGTGTTATTAAGTGGTACAATGTGTTGCTTTTGAATGGCCTACAACGGTTCTAAGTGCATGAAATATCTAGTTTGTTTAAAATCTGGTATAAAGTTCAATGGTATAGAGTATGTTTGAGGTGTTTGATTATTATTTATGTCGTTTCAAATATGATTCATGTGAGTGAAAAGAGTTCATAAAATAATTAAGAAGTTTTAATGGTTATATGTGTTTCCTTCATGTTGAATGGATATTATATACTTATTATTCTCAAGTGTCTTTCCAAAATTATGTTTAAATAAATCTTTGCATTAGTTCTATTAGTTTTTACTTTCCACTTTATGATTTTTGCCTAGCCTATGTACTACTAGAATTATTGTTTTATAATCTTTAATTTTTTATGCATATCGCTCTCAAATATTTTCATTAACTATCTTGCATATTTCTACCATTACATTGGGAAAAAAATTCATAAACATGCTATTATTTCTTTTAGCGATAGTGTCAGCTCTTCATGTGTTTTTATACTCCCACTTTGAGAGTTCCATACTTTAATTGAGTTTTAGCTTTAGGTATCTAGCATGATGTGCACTCAGTAACCTTATCATGAGTTTATTATTGCTCTTTTTTAAGTGAATGGTTCCTATATCTCCCATTGCAAATACAACACTTCTTTGTCATTAACAAGTAACTGGCAACCTAAGATAAGTAGTATGTTTTTTAAAAAAAAATTCTAACAGAACAAGATAGTTAGTAGATCAACTACGAAAACTAGAAGTTAGTAATACCTTATATTTTATATTGGTGTTGAATATTATTGTTTTGACTTTCTTAAAATCCTTGGTGTCTTTTATCTTCATAAAGGTAAGACACTCTTATTATTCAAATGAGTCTCTCTTTTATATATATATATATTCATATTTGTTTAGCTTTTCATTAGTTCCTCTTATGTCTAAATATTTTACTTACATAAGTTTTTGTCTTATAATTTGTATGTCATTGATTAGTTTTTTTCTTTTAACTCAAATTAGTATGGTCTATTTGAGGTTCATTGTTTTTTTTTTTTGTTATTGTTAATATCCTCGATAAAATGTTATATAATATTAATTTTGAAAAGAATATTGTTGTCAACCAAATTTTCTTTTTCGATCATTAAGTTGATAATTTCGAGTCTCTTATCTATTCTTAAATGTAGCCTTTAAGTTGTGTAATA